GAAACGAGCAACGGCTCGTGGAGAAGGGCGAACACCGGCATATGCATTAAGGCCCCCACACTACGCATTCACTGTCAAAAGGGTGAATGCCAACCACAATGAGATGACAGCCTGCCAAGAGATAGAGGCACGTCTACAAGAAGGAAACCCGGCCTCACTGGACATGAAACCTGAGGCGGCAAAATGAGAGGTACCCTTGAAAGATGCTGAAGTAATGCCGGTCGGAGAACCGAAGAAGAAAAGGAGCAGGGACCGAAAGCGACGAAATATGAAGAATCTGCCACGGGGAAGTTGTGAACCCCAGAAGAAGTTGGCCGTAACCCGCAGAGGGACGAACCGCCGTGCGGAAGTGGCACGGCAGAAGAAAACCAGTAGGAAGGTGTACTGCCATGCAAAAGTGGCATGGCATCGGAGGAACATCTTCAGGAAATGTTGGACCCCAGGAAACTGTGGACCCCAGATGAAGTTGGCTGCCCCCTGCAGGAAGACATCCCGTCGCGCGACAGTGGCACGACGTTGGAGAAATGCCTTCAAGGAACCTCTCCTGGGAACCTTCGGATGCCAGCGGAAAGAAGTGACTGCCACCAGAATAAAGATTACACGCTGTGTAGGACACAGGCATATGGGACAAAACAAGAATAAGGTCGCACCGAAAATCACCAAGAAACGGACGTTCGGGAAGAGACTGTGGAAAGGCCCAGAACGCAATACTGGCATCAGGAACCGAGGCCTGAGACAGCAACTACAACGCAGAAATGAAGTGAAGGACCTAGAAGGTGGACAGCCGCGATATGTGAAGATACCAGACCTGAGGAAAACTGCAAGACTGCAGATCGCCAAGCGAGTAGCCGCATTTTCTGTCGGCCTACGAAAAAACAAGGAATGGACCTTATGGAGCGGTCAACCCCCTCCAAAGCGGAAAAAGGCACAACGGATCGGGGAGGCGCCGGAAACGTAGAAACACCGGCCTCCCTAGCAAGAGTAAAAGAGGAAACAATGAAAGGGGCGAATGAATGAGATATAACTGGACCTTCTGGCGAGTTGAAAGGAAACCGCTCAAGACGAGCTGGTCTTAAGAGGGAGTGGTTGTAACGGCTGGAGAATAGCCGCTGCAAGGAGTACCCAAAACAACAGGAGACCCACCAAGCATATGCTTGGAAGGAAAGGAACGGAGATGCACCGTTAGGCTATTCGGGACAAACAGCCTTAAGGAGGGGGCAGTGTGACATGTTGTGCAATGGAGGGCAACCACTCCCTCCTCAGCGGTACATGGCGGCATCGTAGCGCTGACGTCACCCTATGGTAATAGGCAAGTCAACAACCCGCCCTTCTCCCCGCAGCGACGACACAGCGCCAGGCAACAGCGGCACTCATTAAGTAACAGGCAAGCACTGCGGCTATATAAGGGAACTGCACAGCCGCTGTGAGAGTTGAAATGTGGCTGTCGCCGAGTTCAGTTGTCGCAGTTAGTTACAAGTGTATCAGCAGCCGAAGACATTTCTCCAGCCAGCAGTGAGCGAGTAGAGTTGAAATGTGGCCGTCGTCGAGTGCAGTTGAAGTTAGTTAAGGACATCAGTCGCCGAAGACAGTGAGTGTGTGATACAGGGACACTTACATAGCTCCCGTATCGTAGTTAATACGTGTAGCCTACTGAAGACAGAGTGAAGAGATTATTGCGACTATGGTTATAAAGTGTGAAACCCCGCAACAGTGGAAGCAGATTATTGCCAATAGGGTTATAAAGTGTGAAGCCCCACAACTGTGTTGTAAATAATTGCAGCTGAGATTTGTAGGTTGTTAAATAAATCAATTAACAATCCAAACGGTGTCTTCAGTGGCTAAACACATTACAAAATAATACTTTCATGGTCTGGTCCATTGTGCCAAATGTATATCCAGCTTCCAAAATGTGCTGTGCAAATATAAATATAAATGCTAGCAGGATTAATAAACAACATTCTAAATTCATTTTTGCAGTTGGTTTCTACAGTGTATCATTGAAGATGAGATTGATCCACAACTGACAGAACAATTAATTGTGAAACATATATACAGGTCATTCTCAGACAATTCTTTCGAGAGTTACAAAAGCAGAAAGACAGTATGGCTGGTTTCAGCAAGACTCAGCTACTGCCCACATTTCATGTACATCTATGCAGGATTTGTCCGATACCTTCAGGGACAGAAATATCAGCACTGGTATTTGGCAGGCACATTCATCCGACCTTAATTCTTATACGGGGTTACAACAAATGATTCATTCCATTTCAAAATACTACAGGGGGGTGTTCAAGTTCTAAGGTCTCCGATTTTTTTTCTCAGGATTGGGAGCAGATAGACAGATGCGGTTTAGTTTAAATTACCTGTGCACTCTTTGTGAATGCGTGACAGAGATGGCAGTACTGTAAGGCACACAGAACATTAGTGGTGGCGGCTAGAGTGGGGAGTGTTTTTGATACCGAAAATGGCGACGTTTTCGATACAAGAACAGCGAGTAATTATTCGTTTTCTCCACTTGTGTGGTGCGACACCCATTGAAATTCATCGCCAGTTGAGTGAGACATGTGGTGATGGTGTCATGAAAGTGAAAAATGTGCGTTCGTGGGTATGACAGCTCAAAGAATGCTGAACGTCGTGTGACAACCAACCAAAACAATGTCGGCCTTGCACAAGCCGGTCTGACAACATGGTCGAGAGAGTTGAGAAAGTTGTTTTGGATGATCTCTGATTGAGCGTGGAAAACATCACCTCCAAAGTTGGCATTTCCGTGGGATCTGTGCACACAATCCTGCATGAAGACCTGCAAATGCAGAAAGTGTCCTCCAGGTGGGTGCCACGAATGCTGGTGGACGACCACAAGGCTGCGCGCATCACAATTTGCCAGGCGATGTTGATACGTGATGAAGGCATGAAAGGGACTTTCTTTTCATCAATTGTGACAATGGATGAGACATCGATGCCGTTTTTCAATCCTGAAACGAAGCATCAGTCAGCTCAATGGAAGCACACACTCATCGCCACCAAAAAATTTCGGGTAAGCGCCAGTACTGAAAAAATGATGGTGGCCATGTTTTCGAACAGCGATGGCGTAATCCTTACTCATCTCGTTCCAAAGGGCACTACGGTGACAGGTGCATCCTCCCAAGATGTTTTAAAGAACAAGCTCCTTCCAGCACTGCGACAAAAATGGCCAGAAAAGGCTACACGTGTGCTCTTTCATCAGGACAATGCACCAGCGCATCGGGCATACGCGACGCAGCAGTTTCTTCGTGAAAACAACCTTGAAGTGGTTTCTCATGCTCCCTACTCACCTCACCTAGCTCCTAGCGATTTTCGCCTTTTCCCAACGATGAAAGACACTCTCCGTGGTCACACATTCACCAATCGTGCCGCTATTGCATCAGCATTTTTCATTGGTCAAAACAGACTCCTACAGAATTGTTCGCAGCGGCCATGGAATCATAACGTTGACGTTGTGAAAAATGTGTACGGCTGCAGGGAGATTACGTTGAAATGTGACAGAAGTTTCAATTTTTTTGTATGATTATTGTTTGAGAAAAAAAAATCGGAGACCTTAGAACTTGGAACGCACCACGTATATTTTGCAATGTATTAAACATTCAAAGACGACTGATACATGAAAAGATCCACAATTTCACCAAGTTTGCATCGTGATACACCAGTTGGCAGCAGGAGTGCAGTGCCTCACAAAATGGCGATGAAGCTGGAAAAGAGTTTCTGGGTGTTGGAATATGCGAGATTTTCGTCTGTTATTGCAGTGCAGCGTGCATTCAGAGCAGAGCACAGAAAAGAACCACCATGGAAACAGAGGATTCTGCGGTGGTATCGGCAGTTGGGTTTACGGTTCTTTTCATGTATCAATCATATTTGTATGTGTAATATTTTGGAAAATATTATGTTTTGAAATGGAATGAATTCTTTTGTAGTAACCATGTATTTCTTCTGTGGTTCTTTGCAGGACAAAGTTTAAAACAGTAAACCACATGAGGAGGAACTAAAAAAAATATTCATAAGGAAATTGCAAAAATTCCAGCAGAACAACTTTAAGGGTTAATCAGAACCCCTTCTGCTGGTGCAAGGAATGTGTACGTGTAGGGAGACAGCATTTTCAACACCTTCTGTGACTTGTGAATTGTATACTTCAATCCACATGGTACCAGCCACAAGCATACTGATGCATTGGCAAAATTTGTATGCTCCTTACAGCCAGCAGTGCATCAGTTGCTGTGAAACACAGAGCTAGAAAAGTAAGATCCTCCATCTATATGTATATATAGAAATTATCTTTGATGTTCATTAATAGCCTTATTTATCTCTTTAATTACATGTATTGTATATTCCACTTCAACACAATTGCATCTATATTTTAGGATGGGTTGTATCTAATGTTTAGTCAATTTCTGTCTGACAGAAAACAACAAAAAAAAATCTGTCATGACAACCAATCACCTGACAGCAAGTACAGAGTCAACTCCAACGGTGTCAGGTATATTAAATTTAATTCAAACAAACGGCAACTGGGAACATGTGTCTATGTCACACATTGTCACAAACCATTAGAGAATAATTAGTTATCCTGCTACAAATCCTCAACACAATGATACCCCTGTGTTATTACATGGATACAGACTGCAAGGGAGACAGAAAACAAATGATAAACTTCAGCACTGCTCAGAGGATTGGACAGACATGGAAAATGTGAAGGATTTTTCCTCTATAGAATTTACTGCAAAAATTCAGTATACACAGTATTTCATTTTATCTATATTAGATCTGTTCATAAGAAAATGGGAGTGGTACATCACAAGCAACATTCTACAAACTCCAGTTGTGTAGAGACATTTCAGGAAAAAGAAACCTTCAGAATCTAGTCAACAGCAAAGTGGAGTAGTTTCATGTTCACAGAGATGGATATCAGACAGACAAGTGACATTTCTGCACATTTGTGTCATCTGCCTAACAGTGCACATACAGCTCACCTCAGGTTCAGCCTTTATTTTTGGAAATGTTATTAGGACAGGATCCTCTTCCTCTTCTGCATCTGAGACTGCCTCAGCTTTTACATTCATGGCCTGATTTGCATCACGAGGTGTTGGGTACGTCTCACCATACGGACCCACTACAGCGTTCTCCGAATTTCTACAGTTCTGTAAAACCATCACATCCTTCTCAGAACTGGATGCACAACACCCTACATTAACCAGCGTATGCTCTCCTTGCTATGGCTGTTTCTCATCACATCTAACCCATAAGAGCTGTTCTGTACAGATGTTCTCTATAGATATCATGATCACTAGAAAGTACTCGGTTCATAGCTCAGTGACCTTCCCGAGGAACTACTGGTCACTGCGGCAGTACAGAAAATATCTGCTTTTTTTGGTGCCTAAAAAAATCATAATGAAGAGCTCCACAACTTGTAACCTTCGTTCACAAAGCTTAATTATATGATCAAACCAAGTAGGATGAGATGGGCAGCTCATATAGCAGGTATGAGAGAGAAGAGGAATGCATATAGGATATGTTGAGAAAGCCAGAAAGGGTTCATTACTGTGCTCATCATGGCTCTGTATCCTAAGGCAAACAGACCCAGTACAAACCCTACCAAATTATTTCTTAATCTATCTTAACAGCATCTCTCCATCGCACTTAGGTCTCCCAAGTGGTCTGCTTCTCTCAGGTTTTCTGTACAAAACTTTGTATGCATTTCTCACTGTTGCATGTGCACTACATGACTTACCCAAATGACTCTCCTTGAACTCATTGCTCTCCTATATAATATCCCAAACAGTTATCACAAAATTGTAAGGAACGCCTCACATGGATTATGCAAACAAACAGAAGCGTGTCACAAAATATTTAGTTTCTTTGGCCAACAGACTTGAAATAACGCAATAAAATTCTTGTCTGTGCACACAAGCACAAAACACTCACCATCCCTTCTCTCATAGCAGGAAACTTTTCTTCAGCTCTCTGCAATACAATTCTTGCCACTTTTGTTGCTGGAGAATGCAGAATCCTTTGTAACCTTGAAACCTGTTCATCACATGATAAATATATCTTGTGGGGTTCACAGGAATTAGCTCACAAGAGTCCCAGTAACTTAAAATGTTGGTTCTTATAAGTGTAAGTAAGGCTATCCCTGTTAACAGGCTGTGGAGGCCCATAGGGTTGTGAGATGTTGAGGTTCCCACATTCTCTAGATAATTGGCTCATAGATGGTGGCAAGGCTGTCAGCCTTATGTGCCGGCAGCCCTTTACCCCCAAGAATATTCCTGGTACTCATTTCTGTTAGAGGCTGGGTCGACCCCAGGGCCATGGTGAAGATTGAAGGGTTGGGTCAATTGAAAAAATCCAATTACCTCATCAGGACTTGAACCCATGACCTTCCAGCTTGTAGCATAATGCCTCAAGGTTCTAATAAGTGTACCAGTAACTAATTATGAACAGTTCTGTGACTCCCCAAGGATTTTTGCTGCCATAGAATTTCTCTCAAATACAGTTCTGTTTATGCAAAATGTAATTTCATCTGCATCAGAACTGTTGAAAATGATATGGAAGTGGTACATCACAGGCAGCATACATTCAATGAACTTTAACTGTCTAGAGACACTTCAGAAAAAGGCTTCAAAGGCGAGCCAGCAGCACAATGGAGTTGCTTCGTGTGCACAGAGAGACAGACAGACAGACAGATGGAGATTTGAAAGACGACTGGAATTCCTGTCTATCTGTGATATCTACCTAACAGTGGACTTACAGAAACATACAGCTCACCTCAGTTTCAGCCTTTACTTCCTGAACGGTTACTTGCACAGGATCCACTTCCTCTTGTGAGTCTGAGACTTCCTCAGCTTTTATATTCATGGCCTGGTTTGCATCATGACGTGCTGGGTATGTCTCACCATATGGACCCACTAAAACCTTCTCTGAATTTGTACAGTTCTGTAAAGGCATCACATCTTCTGTCAGTCATGGTTGCACAACACCATACATGAAACAATATATGCTCTCATTGCTGTAGCTGTTTTTCATTACATCTAACCCTTAACAGCTGCTCTGTACAGATTAATGTTGTATTTTAGCATCCTGTTGCACTGATTTTCATCCATGATATGTATACAGTGGCCCTCTTGTAGTGCACTCAATTTCACCTGTGAAGTAACATGTGAAATTGAGTACACTACAAGAGGGCCACTGTATACAAATCATGGCTCTACAGATTTCTTCTCTACAGACTTCATAATCTTAGGGAGTGTTAAGTTCATAATGCAGCCATCTTCCTGAGAATCCTGTGGTCCCTGTGGAAGTACAGACAATATGTATCTGCTCTTTATGGAACCTAAGCACTCATTACTGTGTTCACACAGGCCCATGACGACTTTGCATCCTGACACAAACAAACCCAGTCTAAAACCCCCATAATTATATCTTTAAAAAAATCGATCTTCACAGTTGTCTCCCAAGTGGTCTCATTCTTTCAGGTCCTCTGTCAAAATCTTTGTACGCATTTCTCATTCTGACATGCGTGCTACATGACCTATCCATATCATTCTCCTTCAACTGATCCCTCTCCTACATAATAATGCAAAGTGTTATAATAAATGAAGAACCATGTAAACTTCCCACATGGATTATGAAAATTAACACAAGCTTGGCATAAAAAGTTTAATATCTTAAAATATGATTATTGACTGATGACAATAAAATTCTTGTCTGTGCACACAAGCACAAAACACTCACCATCCTTTCTGTCACAGCAGGAAATGTTTCTTCAGCTCTCTGTAGCACAATTCTCGGCATTCCCGTTGCAAGGAAATGCAGAATCTTTCATAACCTTGAAACTTTATTTTATCACACATTATGATTTGTGGGTGGCAAATGAATTGATTTGCAAGAATCCTAGTGATATAGCATGGTAATTAAGATATATGTAGTAAGATGACCTTGTTTTTTATAATGGAAGGTAGTCATAAATTTGATTGCAACTAATATATATTAATTATACCGAGAGTGTGATTTTAATTGTAATTGAATGTTATCTTATGTGATATATGATATGATGACGTTCAATCGATTGGACAGGAGGCCAATCAGACTGGAAAAGTTGTATATGTATCTGACTTTTTCGCAAGTTACAATTTGTAACTGTGATGAATGTTAAATAGAATTATTATTATTATCATATTTCTAATAAGTGTAAAAGTACCTAGCTCTGAATATTTGCCCACGTCTGTAAGAAAACATACTAATTACTGTGAACAAACACACTCTGATGTGCATTTCTTTGTTCTCACAGCAGAGACTGGCAGGGTTTATGAAGCAAAGTGTTGCTCAGTTTCGAAGGCAGCTAGTTCCCCCATTTTGCGTGAATCTCTTCCTACCAAACTGTCGGTAAGTAGGTACCAGACTGCACGGGTTTACGTCCTAGAAACAGCAAAGCTACTCTAAAAATTTACATTGCAGAGCCCCAAAAATGCTTTTGTATTATGCCCTGCAACTTCAACCAGTTCAATATAGGCCATCACCTATCACGACTTCCTTTGCTAGTCGGATTGTCATGTGTAAGAGGCGAGAAAGGGCATAAAACAGTAAAAAATGTTTAAGGCTCCCACACACAGACGCGATACTCAGCTCGGTACGGTACGGGACGATATCTAATTACATTGCGGTAAATGGAGGTCCGCACACTGGCGCGGTACTCCGAGGAGCGCGATATTATCGCAGTCGGTATATCGCCTCGGTATTTCGGTCTACCAAGCGCACTCGGTAGACCGCTCGGTATCGCAGCGGTAAATAGTCATGGATCCGTCTTTGGGGGAAGTTTTGCTTTTAGCTGTCGCTCTTGACGAAGACGAAGGTGAATCCCGGTAAGTATTTTACTGAACATTAAATCTGTGTAGTTCCTTTCCTCCACATATTCAGTATGTCACATATATGTACAAATATTTACAATTCCATAACGAGTCTCTAATTAAGTATGTATAAATGATTGCTGTGTGTTCCTATTTTAGGCGAAAGAGACGAATCACTTGGGTTCATGATATAAACTTGTCAAGAGAGGAACTGGGTGAGTTTTATACATTGATACCTCAACTCCTGAAGGACGAAAAACGGTTCTACATATATTTCAGGATGAAAATTGAGAGGTTTGATGAAATCCTGAGAGCCATCGGGCAAGAAGATATCATTAAACAATATACCAATTGCCGGAGGCCTATTCTTGCCATTAAGTGGAGGATTTTTTTGAGACCCATAGAACTGAAAGGAGGAAATATAAAACACATTGTATCAGCAGCGTGTTTGCTTCATAATTTTCTAAGTCTCAAAAACTGTGATGAAAAGTACAGGGAAGAACTGCTACGAGTGGAGCCATTGGAAGGAGAAATGTTCCCTATCCAGCCTTTACGTCTCCCAATGGCGGCAAACGTTAGCTACGCCATTAGAGAGCGGTTTGTTGCGTACTTCAACTTGATGACTGCCCCAGGAATTCGTGTTAGTGAACGGAACTGGTGCATAGCCTACACTAAGAATGCCCACAGTTACTGTATACTTAACCCTATATAAATATATGCAGATTTTTCTACTTGCTGTCTCTGTTCATTGTAACAGCCAATTCCTTCCACTTTCTATCCTTAGCACGTGAATCCTTGTACATCGGATGACGAGTATCGTACAATAAAGCATTTTCTTTGACGAACTCTATTATTTGTTCCATTTGGCTACCCATGTCATTTCACGTACGTAAAGATACTGATTGAGTGTGAGTCATGGCCAACTGGTTATCGGGTGTCAAAGATTCCCGAGTTCCGAGTGTCGCGTCTGTGTGCGCGGCCCACTCGGTAAACAGCCGCTTTCGTCCCGAGTGCTATATCGTCCCGAATCGTATCGCGTCTGTGTGTGGGAGCCTATTCTACTACAAGCATAACCCTCAGAATGGTCGCTCCGAAGTCTAGCTGAATCCCAACTAAAACTTGCAACTGCGGAATAATATCACGTACACCATAATTTGTAAAAATATGAGGAAACTTAATGATTCCCCAAGGAATACCCAAAACTTACACACTTCCATTAAAAACTTAGTATCCGGTAACACAGATGCAACAGTTACGCCTACTCGCTGTGGTGGTGGTCACTTGCGTCACTTGTGGCCTTGGTACCATAGGCGACACATAGAAGACCGAGAAGACAGAGAGCACTGATCGCACTGATCGCGCTAGTGTACATATAGTACTAATTCTGCACAGCAGATGGGTCTGCCAACAAACCTGTTTGACATCTGTCGCCTACGCCTGATGGTCAATGTCTAGGCCTTTTTTATATATATTGTAACGTGTTTCGTTACTGAAGACGCCGTTCGGATTGATAATTGGTTTATTTAACAATCTACCAGTCTCGGCTACGATTAATTACAACACTGTTGAGGGGTTTCACACTTTGTACCCCTATTCAATTCGTTCACTCTGTCCTCCGTAGTCTACACGTATTAATTACGATATGGGAGCTATACAAGTGTCACTGTATCACACACTCCCAATTATTACTCACTTATTACAAACTATCCTGATTATCACACGCGTCCGGTTCTTCTTTCCGCGACTGCTGCTACATTCCAACTGTGTCACTTCTGATCACTAGGGACCGGATTTTTATGCCCTTATAATCCCTTAAATATGTATGCAATTATGCATGAAAATCTTCCGAAATATGCACTAAAATATACACATAAAAATTTAAACAAAATATTAAAATTGATTTTACATTATTTTAAGACCAACAAATCAATATTTAAGTTCATTTTATGTAATCACGGAATGGTTCATTTGCAATAAAAAGCTATACTTAAATAGAAATCATGCAACAAAGCCAATGTATTTCATTACAAATTCAAAAAAAACATTGGTACTCACATTTAGCTCTCCGAACTTTAAACTTCTCTTCTGTTGCAGTTCACAATTACTAAATGTTCTAGGTTTTCCATAGTTAGTCGCCTCCTACTGTCTCGTAAGATGTCCTTATAGCGGGAAAAACTTCTTTCCACCTCACAGGAACTTAGGGGCGCATGTACAAAAGCCGCTATTTGTCCACTGTTAGTGATATTTTACGTGGCAGTTCAGTACGTTTACCGCCTAAAATTTCTTCAATTTCACAAAATTTGTTCATATCCCGGATTTTTGGAAAGAATGCTGTGTACTTTTTCCTTTACTACTTCACCTACTCTTCCAGGAACCGAATTCAATTTGGAAACAGTGGTTTGGAACACACTTAACGACTGATACAAAGTAGTATTGCTATTGCTTGCCTCCAGTGAGGAAATGGCGAATGGAAGATGAGAGAAGTGAGCAGATATATAGGAAAGATTAGTTTCTAGGTCTGCGCTTTTTAGTACATCTTGGGCAATTTGAATTGATGCTGCACTTTTAGGATCAAATGTATTCACGAGATTCCTAACTGTTTCTAAATGTTCGGTATAATAACTCGCTGCACACAGCCACGTGCCCCAGCGCGTTAAAAATGGTTCTGGAGGAAGTGGAACGCTCGGTGCTACTGCTTTAAAGGCTTCTTTTCTGTATGGCGCTTTAACAAATACCTTCTTCACAGAAAACACTAACTTGTCAACAAGCGGAAAATTTGCACGAATTGTTTCTGCAACACGGTGCAACCCATGGGCAAGGCAAGTCAATTGTGTCATATTTGGAAATATAACTTTAAGAGCAGTACCGGCTTTCATCATATAACTTGCGGCATCAGTCACAAAGAGCAATACGCGCTCATACTGAATGCCATTCGGCCATAGTAAATTCAAGGAATTGATAAGAAATTCGGAAACTTCATTGCTATTTGTGGTTTCAAATTGCTCTACCGCAAGAAGATATGGGGTAGATTGTTCATTCTTATTAAGGGATCCAACTATACAATTTGCAATAAACCGTCCCTCACGATCTTGTGTTTCGTTGATTGATACCCACACAAAATAATCTTTAATCTTATCTCTAATGCTTTCAGTTGCAAGATCGTAACACTGCTTCACGTAATTTTTGCGCACAGTAGATTCAGCCGGCACATTGCACTGTGTATATGAAGTCGTCCAATTTAAGCTAGTGATTAAATTGGAATATTAAGAGCAAGACTTGGTGTAAGCGACTTATAAACAACTGACACTTATATCCCTGCGGCACGTAATAGTGGCGCCATAGTGTCAGTTGTTAAGTGAAGCAAAAATATATACATATATTATGAGTAAAGGATGCCGCTTAGCGTCTGTAATATTACACTTTGCAGCTGCAGTCTAGCGAGGTCTCAAGAATCGTTGAGAATATCGCTGGACCAGCTGCTTCGAATATATAACTTGTAAGAAGGGTATTGGGGGATTTAAATTTGTAATACCCGCCTTCCTTTTGAATGATCGAATCAGAAGCAATGATGGAATATATCTGCGAGGGTGGGAGAATTGATGTCCCAAAACTCAACGATATATTCCGAGCTTCTGGAGGACTTCTGATTCGGTCATTCCTACTGATAGACGTATTTCTGCACATAATATATTAAACCAGTGAGCAATTGTAATGTGTGTCAGTGTAATATTAGCACCCTTTGTCTCATGATCCAAGACCCGTAAACGACCCTGAGGAAGGATTTCATTTCCACCGGAACCCAACCAACATCAGAAACTAAAGGGCGTTAGAGCGGTAGCATATACTTCTCTATGAAGTTTCTCAGAGTAGGATTGATCAGTTTTCACAGTGGAATATCTGCCTCTAAAAAGGCTTCGCATAAATCAGAGGGAAATTGTGAAAAAATATGATTAGAAAATTCACTAAGCAATTTTTGAACAGGAGCACTTTTCGTGGATTTAATTTTAATATTCTCTTTGTGTATATTAGTGTTCAAATGCTGAAGCACTTGAAAGCGTTTTTCACAACCAACTGTTTTCTCACACGCTCGGCAATAAAGAATTTCGTTATCCGTACTTGTCATCTGTCCCAAGCGGCCTCCGTAGTCTAGAGGTAACGTTCCCACCTCATGACTCGTAGTACGCGGGTTCAAATACCCGGCGGAGCTCGTCGAATTTTTAAGGGCGGAAAAATTCAGGGAACAAGTCCTCCGGGATGGACTTTAAGCCGTGTGTCCCGTGTCGTAGCTTTACGGCACGTAAAAGAACCTCATATCTCCAAAGGAGGTCGCTGAGCCAAATTGCGGACGTTTCCCGCCCAACAGCAGTCTCTAATACCTCTGGTAGATGGGGAAAGCATTATAGATACCTCTCAGCCAGTAGAGCCGGTCTCGCTGGCTGGGCGAGACTGATGGTAAGTACCAATACCGGTAGGCTATAGAGACTGGTAGAAATCATAGAGGGAAGTACAATGGACCACTACAGGTATAAGTGCAAGTTTTCTTTATAAGTATAAAGAAAACAAGCCTACTCTCCCAAAAGTACAAAACAAAAAAAAAAAACAGAAAAACAACAAAAAACAAAAACAAACTGAATAACAAGTAGAACGCAAAATAGGCTCTCTCGCCATAATTATCAAAACACAAATCCAAAATCTTAACAAAATCAAACCATAAGAAAGATAATCACAACCAAATATATAGCTAATATTTCCCCAACATATAAAACAAGGAAAGGTAAAAAAGAAAAAGAAAGTAAACACAAAAAATAAACTATGCACCAACCATCAACCCTTGGTTAAAAAACATAAAGGGATTTAAAAAAAAGAGGGAATAAAAACCTTAACATTGCAAAACTCTATAAGACTGAAAAAAATCATTACCAAACCCACGAATTATAGAGACCAAAATAGACAAACCCAACGATCCTTCACACACAGAAAAAACCAAGAAAAGCATTACAAAATAAAGCTCATAATCATAAGAACTAAGATAAAAATAAACAACAACAAAAAGAACCAAAACAATAAATTCTAATCTCAACAAAGTAGCCAACAAATGCTTACGATTAGAAGAAAAAACCCAAATACCACAAAAGAAAAGAAAAGAAAATTGCTCTTACAGACAATAATGATATGTTTAATCATAGTTTAATACACCAAAGATTCTGATTCCAATATATCTTATTCATAGTTTTTGTTGGAGGGATACTAGTACTGTTTATCTACGTAGCAAGATTGGCATCAAATGAAATATTTACATCATCGACAAAAATAATAATTGCATCAGCCGGAATGATGTTAATATCAATAGCAATAAGAAACAAAACCATCTTCAACAGAAGAGATTCAACAACACATAACACAACAAGAAATGAAGTCGTACTGATAACAAGAAAGATATATAACCAACCAAGAGGGGCCATAACCATTTTAATAGCACTATATTTACTAATAACACTAATTGTAGTAGTAAAAATTACTGATGTATCAAAAGGCCCTCTACGACAAACAATATAAAAAAATAATAGAAGTTACTACTATACTATTACTATAGAATAATATACCCTATTATCATTAGGTGGCCTACCACCATTCATCGGCTTTTTACCAAAATGGGCTGTTATCCAAACAATAATCACAAACAATCTAGGGCCAGTTATAACTATAATAGTAATCATATCGTTAGTGACGCTGTATTATTACTTACGAATATGTTATTCAAGATTCATTACGTTGTATGACGAAACAAAATGGGGGCTCAAAACACTAAAGATAAACAAAACCATTACATATGGGGTCATGATATCTTCAGTGTCAATAATAGGCCTAATCATATGTACAATATCCATCAATATCAGTTAATGAAGGCTTTAAGTTAAAAAAACTAATAACCTTCAAAGCTATAAATAAAGAGACTTCTTTAGGCCTTGGTGGCTTCCCCACCCCTTCAGAATTGCATTCTACTATCACAGAAATGAATACAAGACCTTTAGTAGAGGGGTAATCCCCTTTATAGATTTACAATCTATCACTTATTAACCTCAGCCACTCTACTTAATAACCTTTATCCTACGGCCGATGGTTATTCTCAACTAATCATAAAGATATTGGAACCCTTTACTTTATTTTCGGAGCTTGATCAGGAATAGTTGGAACTTCACTGAGAATATTAATCCGGGCCGAGCTAGGGCAGCCCGGGTCTCTTATTGGAGATGATCAAATCTATAACGTAATTGTAACAGCCCACGCCTTTGTAATAATTTTCTTCATAGTAATACCAATTATAATCGGAGGATTTG